TTTTGTTGTTTTTTTTTTTTTTTTTTTAATCGTTTTTTTTTTTTTTTTTTTTTTTTGTCTGTTTATATGCACTCTCATCAGGATAAGGAGCAGATGTCCAGTGGGATTTACAGCACTAAATGGTTCCTCCAGTGTTTTATTGACAGGGTAAGTGTTTGATCTGAGCAGATGCATTGTAACCAAACTGACAATGGTGTTATGTAAGCGGTGATTAGTAGATAAGTGTACATGCTCAATCATATGCTAAGCTTAGATCTCAAAAGCCAAGGAAATGATGCATCAACTGTGTGTGTATATTATAGTGTTGGTTCAGGTCACTGCAGACAGTCCTAAAAGTGGTGATTCATTTGGCTCTCTTTGAATGTAACTGAGTCAGCTGTTTTGATGGTAACTGTGATTTTATGTTCAACCATCGTGGGATGGAAACACTTCTGGATCTGCTCAAGTGAGAGGTGTTTATATGAAGAGATGCTGGCAGTGAGATCTGCTCAGACTTGCTCAGCTAAAAACTGAGGTGTTAAGTGGACATTCAGGTTTATACAGGCAGAGATTTTGACTCATTGTAGATGTGGACAGAGAAGGAGGAACTGGGATTGAATGTCAACAGCAAAGCATTGATAATTAGTTAATACAAATGATTATGTGTAGATGCAGAGAAGTCAGGGACACCTCTGAGGAAAGAAACTGCTGATCTGTAGAATCATATATAGCAAATGATCTTGAAATTGTGCGCAGCTGACTGGTATCAGATCTCCGCCTTGTAAACACCCCCTAATTAATATCATTACCATATAAAAGAGCAAAACTTAAAAAAAAAAAAAACATTATTGAAAAAAAAAATTGGAGATGCGTTTGCATTTATTTTTTTTATTTTATGCATTCGTAGTAAATCAAGACTTTGCAAGTTCTCTTGTAAAATAAAATTATAAAAAAAAAACATGGAATAAACTGTGTACAGAAAGCGAATAAAGAACTCTCAACATTAGGCTACTAAAAAGGTCAGTTTAATCTTGCAAAAACTCCCGTTAATAAAAAATCTGACTACACTGCACAATTAATCTCTTACACTGCATCTTTGTTGTTTATAATGAATTCGGTGCTTGCACGTACACCGCTTTTATTATTATTATTGCAGCTTAGATGTTCAAATAACTGCAGTACTCCGACTTTGCCACAAGGAAAAGTGCGTACGCCTGCTCAGACCCTGACGTGGCGGTAAGTACTTTTCCACGTCAAAGATCGTTTTTATACATATGAACGTTGCCGTGGATTTTAGCGTACGCACTCTAAGATCAAATCTGTGCGTACGCACATTTTATAAATGAGGCCCATAATCTTCAAGCTTTGTGTTCATTGGATGTTTCCTCTTGTACAGGACTTTTAGAAAATAAACTCTTAAAAAAACT